AAACTGAAAGGTAGTACACTTGTAGCTAGACTTAAAAAAATACTGCCAATTTCAAACAGTCCATGACTCAGAAAGGAGGATAGCATTGTTACTCAATTAAATCATTATGTCAGCGTTACTTTTAATAATTAATTATTGAAACAAAAAAAGACTCAATAATATAACCAGGCTAAATCCTTTTTAAGATACATGCTGAGTATTTTTATGAGTTGTGCCATATTTTGAAGAGCCCATAGGACAAGTCAAAACACAAATAACAAGTAAAAATACTCAGCGACACTACACAACAAAACGTGTAATAAGTTATTTATTATCCAACACGCCAAATTGTTATTTCAGTGTGGGCGAATTTTGCAGATATTTATTTACGGGGAGTGTGTGACAGAAGTACACCAAGCGGAACAGAATTAATAATAATAATAATAATAATAATAACTTTATTTATCCTGGTTAAAAACTGATGGACTGGTATTAATTGGTGACTAGCAATATATAAGAATATTAACATGAAATAAAACAACAGTTTAACAATAATGACAAAAACTCTCAACAAAGAACTAAGCATTGATCTTGCAAAATGTGATTAGCCTAATCCATAATCATTAATTGGTGCGTTTTTGTGTTGCTGTTTCTATTTTCTTCAATAAATGAAGAAATTTCCTGGTTGTCTAACGGTTTTTCTTCATTCAATTCATCTGATAAACTTGGATATATATTTGTCAGGCATTCCGACTCTTCGTTGTCGGAAATATGATTAAAATTGTCCGCCATTTTTTTTTCATAACTTCAATCCAAATTTTTTGCTAGTGCGGTGTGAGAAAACCTGCCTAACCGGTTCTCTAGAGTACAAATACTGTGTTATATTTGTACTCGTCTATGGCGTTATTTGTACTCTACGGAATGTAGTTGGATAATAATTTGTTTTATCAACTGAGTTCATAATGTAAATTGGCCACCATAAACAATTTTTTAAAGCTGAAGTTTTGACTGCAAGCTCGTTGTCATGCAACACTACATTTTATTTAGGAACTAACAGCCCATACCCCCTTTATTCAGTAATAAAATCTATTTCAAGGTGACCCTGTAAGTCTCAAACTTATCTCCATCAGATTTCATATTAAATTTTGACACAACTTTCATGCCTACTTCCACCTTGACTCATTGTCCGCCACCTGGGTGTCCATCTCTGTCATAACCTGCTAGTAAATCTTCCAACAACCGCTGTTGAGGGTTGTTCCTTTCTGCTGTTTAAAGAAATGAGACGATTCGACAATACAGTATTAAACATTTAAAGCTGGTTCTTTTCTCAATAACTGTAATATAACCTTTTTGGTCCTAAGCTTTCTGCGGTTGTAGCGAACTGTAAAATCGACCTTACATGTAGCTATAGATGACTCTTTCTATGTAATTTGAACAAGAGCAGGTTGGTTATACATGTCTCTGAAAATCTGGATTTTCAATTTTATTAAAGCTGTTCGTGTATATACATGTAAAGGCCTGATTCAGTATACAACAACTTATTCCATTTCATTGCTTGCCTAGGGAAAGAAGTAAATGGAGAATGGCAAAACTCCACTACTGATGAGTCTTTCATGAGCAATCTTGAACTTCAAAAAGTAGACCAAGATTGTGAGAGTGAGCCAGAGGAGAAACCAGATGATTCCCCCTCGGCAAGCATGGTTCTCAATCACATTCTAAGAATAACTTCTGACAAGAAATTCGCAGAGCCTCCCCAAACCCTGAAGCCCGCTGCAGCAGCAGAGTCCTAGACTGGAAATGGGCATGTGCTCGATACAGAGAGCATTTGTGAACAAGTTAAACTTGAACTTGTTAAGTATAATATTTCCCAAGAGGTGTTTGCCAAAGCAGTCTTGGGAAAATCGCAAGGATATCTCTCTGAAATGCTTAAACATGGTGAGAACTTTTTCCGCCCACAAGACAATACACACTACAAGGGTTGGATGAATTTTGAGATCATGCGGCAGTTCCTTCAGAGACCAGAGGCTGAACGCCTAAGGATTTATTACCAGAAGGGAGAGGAGTTGAAGAGGGAGAGGATGAAACGTAGACAGATTGAGATAGTAAGTGCATTTTTTTCCATCATTGGTTTTCAATTTTTTTTTTTTCAATTTAATTTTTGTTGAGATTTTTGTTGTTGTGTAGCCTGCTGTGTAAGCATCACATTAAGGTGAGTTGAGGTGACAAGCTCACAATCATTCATCCAACTTGCCATGTTCAATTTCAAGTTAGAGTGGATGGTGGGGAAGGGGTGGGGAAAGACAAGTAGATTTCTATTCATCTCTGTTTCCTCGCCCCTCCCCTCTCCTTCATTCAGACTGTTGCTTACTTGGTAGTGGCCATAAATTTGACCAAGAAACTAATGAAGGCTTGGTTGCCAAAGTCACATTTGCTCTGCAGACTAGTTGCTGTGCAATACATGTTGATCTTGGAGAGGATGATTTCTTGTTTTTCTTTCTTCTTAATGAAAGGTTTATGTACTCCAGGTTTATATAAAAAAGAGAACCTGGCACAGTTCTACCAAAGCAAATTTAGTTTCTATGATTGAAGACTGTATTTCTACATGCATTTCTACTGCATTTCTTGTCCCCATTACAAAAATGAAACAGAAGGTGGGCAAACATTTACTGTATGATCAATAGATAAAGACCTTAAAGAACTAAAGATTGCCAAAGCCTTGAAAAAGAGAGTTATAAACAATTTACTTGGTAAACAAATTAGTGATATGAATTTTTTATAATATTACGGATGATGATGTTTTAGTATGTTTTTATTATTATGAAGTTTGAGTATACATACATATGTATTTTTCTTTTTAATAGGTTTTTAAATTGTATACATCAAATTATTATTACTTTCATTTATGTTAATTTTATGTGTTGATTAGATTACTTTATAGAGGGCCATAGGGTTATCAGTTGTACCTAAACTGTTACGTGCTACCCTATTAAAATAAAGTCATTATCTTATCTTATCTTTTCTTACCTTTGTGTCCCTGAGGTTTAAGTTAATTGGGTTTTAAATTATCATTAATTTTGGTATTTTAGAGTATGAGAAGCACCTTGAAGATTAATTGTAAATTTTGAGAGTTGACATAAATTTTGATGCTGAGGCGTTTTTTTTTGGGGGGGTATTAGGGTCTGTCTGATGATGCACTCAGGAAAAGAAGACACTACATACGCACAGAAGCCAAGGCTGTCATGGAGGATCATTATCTCCGCAGCAAGTACCTTTCATTGGAGAAGCGCCAAACCTTAGCAATTCAGCTGCCCATACCTGAACAGTGTGTCAGTGATTACTTCAAGAATCTGCGATCCAAGAAGAAACATGAGGAGCGAATGAAGTGTTTGCTAAAAGGGCTGGAACATGGTCAAAAACAACCTGACCAGGGGGATTCTGGAGATGAAGATGAAGACAGTGTGGAAAATGGCTCCAGTGAAAATCCTGGATTGTGTTTGCCTGAGAATTCAGCTGTGCTAACATCTAGTGCAGCAGGAGAAGCATCCCCACAATCACATGGTCATGCGCAATCTCTAAGTTTAATACATTCATGTGGTAGAAGGTTTAATGTGTCTCCCTCAGTATCTGCTTCATCTCCAACTTTTCCAACATCCTCAGAAAGGAAAGTTTCTGAAACCGATTTAGTTGCATCAAAAATTGCTGCTCTGAGGCAAAGTCAAAAGTCATTGAACAAAGAGTCTGGTGTTGCCTGTCACCTGCTGTGAGAAGTAAAGACAGTGAACTGCAGGTTTCAAGGACATCCCCCATCAGTTCTGTTCATCGTGCAGTCAGGGAGAGCTCTGCACTCTCTTCCAGCTACCTGTCATCATCGCAGACACCTGTGTCCAGGTCTGAAGAAGTGCAGACCTTCTCACTTCAGAGCTTGATTGATGGTACCTGTAGTTCTGTCATGCTCCAGGGGGGGACACCTGAAACTGAAGGACTGGAGGTTGGGCAACAGATTTATGTTGTACATGTTAACAACCCTGTTGTGACAAGTGTTCAGAACTGAAGGCATCGGAGTTCAAGAAGCTGGCATCAAGAAATTTCAAGACAATTTTCTACAACTAGCAACTCCATGATATGTGAAGAAGACTATAATTAATCATTTATTAATTATTGATTATAACTATTAATAATAATTATAGTTACACAAAAAAATGTTTTCACCGTTAC